AGACAACAGTTTAACCTAGTGCTTCTCACACTTTTTTTTTTTTTAATTTTTATTTTTTTCGGATGTACATCATTTCGAATTCTGTATACATTACATCATGTTCACCACCCGAACACTAATTATAGTGCAACCCCTCACATGTGACCCTAATCACCCCTTTTGCCCTCCCCCCTTCCCCCTTCCCCAATGGTAACCACCAGTCCAATCTCCAATGCTATGTGTTTTTGGGGTTTTTTTTTTTTTTTTTGTCATTTTTATCTTCTACTTATGAGTGAGATCATATGGTATTTGCCTTTCTCCCTCTGCCTTATTTCACCCAGCATAATACCCTCAAGCTCCATCCATGTTGTCACTTAATTGACATTTTTTCTTTTAGTAAAATCTATTTAACATCCCAAGGAACTAGTATCCCATAGGATGCACTCAGAATTTGGGAGCATGCAGGTTATTCGGCTGTTCTGGCTGTCAAAGAGGTAATTTATCATGGTCTGTGAAATCTTCCCTTCATTTCATTCTTCCTCAGCGCTGCTTCTGCCCCCAAAAATCTGTATTTTATAGGAATTATAGCCTTAAGATAAAAGGACAAAAGTCCATGGGTGGACTTTAAGGCACTGGCCAACAAAGTAGGACTTGGGAGGAATCTGCCATGATATCTCCCTTGCTCTCTGTCACTGACTAGAGACATGATCTTTAGTGCGTGAATTAACTTTTCCGTGCCCTGGGTTCCTGTTGTGTACACATGGTGAGGATCAAATGAGTTATTCGATGAGTGCTTAGAACAGCAGCTGGAAGATTCACAGCAGCCAAATAACATTGTATGTTATGAACAGCACTTATTATCTGAAACAATACAAATCTAGTGATTTCCTTTTCCGCTCACATGGTAAGCTTGATGGGCTTATAACTTAGTATAATAGCCCTTTAGGTGACATAATTATGGAGCAATCTGCGCTAAAGGACAAAAGAGAGACAATAGGTACTAAGAAAGTTTGGGAAGGGAAGGATTTGTGTGCACTGCAGGGTTGGTCATTAGGAAGGCTTCCTGAGGGAAAGGAAAGGTGAGAGGGGCTTGGCCTGAGCAGAGAGGATGGCAGGGGAAGTCCCGGGAAGGGAAGAGCATCAAGGGAACACAGGCCTGGAGGTGCCAATGAGCACAGCCTGAGCCTCATTAACTCGGCTCCAGAAGAGTGGGGAGTCTGCTCCCAGGAAGACTGCTGGCAACAAGAAACCAGCCAACCCCCGGGAGCTGGCAGCTCTGTGGACATCTGCAGGGGAATAGAGTCATCTCCAGGTCCCAGAGGTAACGAGAGGTGACACACGGTCTGTTGAGCAGAATGGAGTGTTTGCTTCTCCAGCTTGCAACATTTGCTGACGGGCAGATCTTTGAGCCCCCCACCCCCTCCCCAAAGCCCCCTCCAGGGCCGGGTTGGTTGAGAATCGTGTCTTTCCAAGAGGCAGAAACCCACTGAGGCTCGCTCAAGTGTAAAGGTGGTTGGCAGTAGATTCAGGGATATCTCAGAGAAGGCAAGGGTGGGGAGGACAGCGGAGCCTCGGGAAAAACTAGAAAAATACTGAGTACCAGGGCAGGGGCTCTGCCCCGTGTCTCTGACTTTTCCTCGTTCATTATCTCTGTCTCTCTAAACATCTCTCTCCATCTCTATTTCTCTCTCTTTCTCTAATCCCTATTCCAGTCTCTCCCTCTGTCTCTCTCTGTTTGTATCTTTCCGTCTCTCTCCATCTCCTTATATGCATGTGTGTGTGTTTTCTGTGTGTGTGTGTGTGTGTGTGTGTGTCTTTATCTCTTTCTGATCTTTACTCCAACCTCTTTCACCCTCAGTCTCTCTCTCTCTCTCATTGTACAATCTCGCACATCTGGCGTGTTTCTGTTCGCAGGTTGTCTTTCTCTGCCTGGTCCTCAGCATACACGGTACACAAATCACCACCCCAACCCTAGAGTCTGCTTGACCTCTTAGCCCCAGGGCTCAAAAGCATCAGTGACCCTCAGCGACAACTCTCTTTGAAGAGAAAATCTGACTGGCCCAACTCAAGGTCAGATGACCACTCCTAGTGCAATCAGTTTCGGCCAGGGAGAGTCATGTGACCACACCATGATGGTTTCATCTAAGTAGGGGTCTGGGCTGGGCATTCACCCTACAATGCAGCTTTGAAGCAGGACAGGACTGCACGGTGGAAAGAACACTCATTAGGAGGCGTGGGATTGAGTCTCCTATTAGCTCCCATGGGACAACCGTGTGACCTGGGGCAAGACATTCCCCTCTCTCAGTCTCAAATACCCCATCTGTAAGATGAAGAGTCGGATAAGGTGTTCTGTTAAGAACACTTCTAGCCCCCAAATTCTATAATGTTGTATTTACAAAACAGGCATGGAGACCAGGAAAAAGAAAGAACATGGAAAGTGACAAAGGAGAATATTGAGAAACAGAAAACCACATGCTGTCAGCAACAGCTGGTAGAACTGTCTCCAAGGCAGGGGGTGAGAGTCAGGGGCTGTCATTCCCGATGCAACAGAGGGGGACAAATGGTTCCCAAAGTTCAGGGTGCCTCACCTGCAGAGGTTGCTGTAGACGCAGAGTCCCAGGCCCGTCCCAGATGGTCTGATTCAGCAAGTCACCCCAGTGACTGTGATGCAAGTGGTCCCAGAACCACCCTCTGGAAACGGTGAGTTGGACTTTTCAAAGGGTTAGAGCTGTCTTAGGAGGATCTGGGCTTCCCAGGAAAGGTAGTGATCTCCCCACCTTTGGAAGCACACAAGAAAGGCAGGGCTGCTCTGCATGACCTCCACCATCCCTTCTTGCCTCCTGTTTCTCAACACTCTGAAGGTCAAACAGAATCAAGACTACACTGGGAGCTCAAGACCCAAACAGGGAAAGGTTTCAGCCTCTTCCTCAAGCTGCTTCTCTGGGCCTCACTCATTTAAACTAGAGGCCATGGATGTTGTGTCCAGACAGGGGAAGGGAAGACACTAGGCCAACTCTGCCCCTCCCGTGACAGCTCCTGGGCTTTTAAAGGCTGGATTCTGGATCAATGGGAGTGCCTCCAAGATACTCTCTTGGACTTGGACTCACTCATCTTCCCGAAATGAGTAGGATCTTGGAAGGAGGAGGGAGTTCAACCCTAGTCTCTGCTGGAGGCCCCAGATTCTGAAGCCAGAAGATTAGAAGGATGGCCACCTCAGGTCCTCCCCAGTCAGGGCTGGAAGATGAAGTACTGCCCCCTCACTGACGCCTATTGAATTACTGCAGCTCTCCACGCATCTCCCTCTTCTGAGGTCCCATGGTCTGTGGGCTAATGGGTCTCAATTAGCACCTGGGATGACTATGTGGCTTGGGGAGGACCCAGACACCTGGAAATTTAATACTTTAATAGAGGGCCCAAGAATTCGCAATGCGCTTTCACACCAACTATCCATTTAATCTTCTCAGTCATCTTGTGGGGCTGGTTGGTTGTGTATCGGATGGGGAAACCGAGGCTAGGCTGGAAGAGAGGCAGAGCTGGAGGAAAATACAGGTCTCCACCTCCCTTTTCTTTTCACATCCCCGTTCCTCCAGGGAAGCCTGGCCTGGAGAGGTGGAGGGACCACGCCCCCTGGGCAGGGCAGGAACTGGGACCAGGAGAAGGTGGGGTGTCACTGCAGCAAGTGGACAGAGCAGTGTGCTGGCTCTGTCTCAGGAGGGTGGAGACATGTGACCAGCTGGGATGGAAAACTTGGAGAAAGGGGAGGCAGTTAGGCCAAGGGGAGGCCAGCGGATTTGAGTGTCAGGACAGCTGGAAGCTATGTGTGTGGCCTGGAGCAAGTCCCTCCTTCCCCCCAGGCCTCAGTTTCCCCTTCCGTACTTTGGTGGGGCTAGACTCCATGGTTTCCTAGTCCTGTCCTACTCTCACATTTGGGGCTTCTCCTCCACTGGCTGCCTCCCTGAGTCTCCATCCAGCCACTAGCAGCAGACAGCCATGCGACCCAGAGACCACAGCAATTCCCTGGTCAGCTCTGGTTCTGCCCCACCCCAGCCTCAACCCCCACAGCCACCAGAAGTTTCCTAGAAGCCTCAAAATTACCTGATGTCCAAGGTGGATGGCAACACTGCAAAAAAGCTGCAGTGGTCATGACTGACCAGAAGATGGCGCCAAAAGCCCTGGAAACCGAAACAGTTTTACTTCCGTCGTTTTTATTTCTGAAGCTACAGGTGCAAAAACTAAGCCGCAAGGCAGTAAGAGATGTGCTGGAGGTCTCCCATTGGCTCTTTGGCAGGGCTGGGAACCAAGCTCCTCTCCTGCCCCTGGGGCCTGCAAGCGTCCTTCCACCCCACTCTCCTCCCTGCGTATGCCACAGGATTCTGGTCAAGCTGAGTTAGTCCCATGATGCTCTGATCTAGTTGTAGCTTCTTTGTGTTAGGTCGGTGGGGGCTGGGAGGGCCCTGAGGGAGACACAGTGAGCCTTCACGTGATGGGCTCGGGGCTTTCTTGTGCTTCACGTGTGGATGGGTAATATGGTCAAATACTCAGGGTTGACGCTCTCCTCCCCACCACCCACCCCCACTGCCGTGCTGACTTTGGGCAAGTCTCTTAAGTGCTCCAGACCTGTTTTCTAGTTTAGAAGGATGATCCTACAGACCTAATGGGTTGTCTGAGGGATTACACTGACTGATTGAGAAGAGCTCTGAGCACCATGACTGTGAGATAGCAGGTGCTCAAAAAATATGAGGGTTGTGTTGTTGCTAGGACACTTGTGTCAAAAATGACCTAAATGGGGGGCCGGCCCAGTGGTGCAGCAGTTAAGTTCGCAGGCTCCACCTCAGCAGCCCAGGGTTTGCAGGTTTGAATCCCAGGTGCAGACCTACACACCACTTGTCAAGCCATGCTGTGGCGACATCCCACATACAAAACAGAGGAACATGGGTACAGATGTTAGCTCAGGGTCAATCTTCCTCACCAAAAAAATAATAATAATAACCTAAATGAAATGATAACACAAAAGGCTAGACTAGCGTACGTGGACAGTTTCATTCTGTAACATTCCTCCTTCACTCCCTCTCCCCTGACTGCCCTTTCTCCAATCTCTCCTGTGCTCCTGCTCCAGGCTCCCATATCAGCTGCTCCTGCGGTTAATTGAAGCATTTCTTCTTCTTTTTCTTGGTGATCATCTCCTGGTTCTGTGTGACAAGGAGAAGAAAAGTCAGACCTTGCCAAAGAGACGAGGGAGAGGGAAGTGGCAGGGGCTGCATGGCCAGAGCACGTGGGAGTCCCTAGGGAGGTCATGGGGGTCCCAAGCTCTCCCCTCAGACTCGGCTTCTTCAGACCCTGAATTTCTCCAGAGTTCAATCGCCATTCCCTGCTGTTTCATTTCCCTCTCCACTCCAGGTGCAACGCCCTCCTCCCTCCCTGCCTCTGGCCCTCTCCCATAGATTTTTCAGGATGCAGCCAGAGAACTTTCCATCTCCCCACAGCCCACGCCAATCCCTCCCTTCCCGCACAGAATTCTACAGCTCTGCTTTGCAGGAATAGAGGCTTCTCCAGAGAGACCCGGGCTCCCTTCTGGAGATGGAGGTGGCACCTTCTCCCCTTGTCTCCTCCATAAAGCCCAGCTCAAGGCTGGGAACTCAGGCTGCTTAGGGCAGTGGAGGGAGCACTGTGCTAGGAGTCAAGAGACCCTTGTCTGAGGTCTGGCCCTGCTCTGACACCTGTCTGACACTGGGCACTCCCTCTGGCCACCCTGGGGTGACACCCAGCCTTCCGTGAGAGCCTCCCCAATGAGGTCATTTCTGCCCTGGGATTTAGCAGCTCTGGGGACCAATCCCGCTCTGCTCTCTCAACATGACCTCTGACAAGTCCCTTCCCACTTCAGGACTCGGTTTCCCTGGTGCTCTTGGCATGCTGCGAGTCCAAGACCACAGTCTGGTGCCTCTTTTTGGAACTTGTGCCGGCTCCTCTTCGCTGCTGCTGCTGTCACTCTCGCTGCCTTTGTCCTCCTGCTGGAGAGACGTGAGGTCAATGTGGGCTCCTGGGGCTGGGCCAGGTTCTCCCACAGTGTCTGGAGCCGCTCCTGCCTTCAGGGGTCTCCCTTCTCCTCCAGATCCTCAGCTAGGTGTGGAATATGCACAGGGCACCAAACAAGATGAGTCCTTATGGGGAGGTGCACTGAGGAGCAGTGATAGGGAAAAAATACAAGTTAGGGCAGAAAAGACCAGCAGAGGACGCTGCAAGAGAGAGATGCAGTTTTACTCCAAATTTTGATACCAGCTTCCAGAAGTCTCTGACCTTAAACTATGAATGGCTGCTATCAGATTGTTTCCAGAGAGCATGGTAAGGGTGGAAGGAAGAAGAGAGTCCCTGGGCACTGAGAGGCTACAGGGGAGGAGAGAGGAGGGAGAAGCAACCAGAGAAAAATGATGGGGTGGCATCTAACTTTTCCTACTTTACAACTTCTCCAAGAGCTGCCGGAGGCAGAAGGCAGCGATATCAGTTAACCTGCTTCTTCACAAGCTTCAAAGAGAAGTTTGTGCTGAAAGTAAATTTCCAGGGGAAAAAGAGACGTTATTTGGGAATGCTGCTGCTTAGACATAAGACTTAGACAAATGACTCTTAGATGGAGCTGGAACCGTTCTCCTGACCAGCTAAGGTGAGGCTGGAGAGGAATCGGGAGAAGAGCTCCTCAGTCTAGGACAAGAACAGCGTCCTCTAAATCACCACAGCCCTCTGAAGCCCACAGGCCCTTTTCCCGGACCTCTCAGTCCTACTTAGCAATTTATATAGGTGGGTTTTGATCCACTCATATGGCCATTTAATACTGATTTGTCCATTCACAAACTACTGAAGCCATTCACAGTTGGCCAGCAGCTTCATCCCTAGGTCCTGTTATCCCTGAGTGGAGAAAGTTCCTCCTCATCCGAGGACCTGACATCTGCCTGCCAGGAGCAGCTCAACCCTGGACAGCATAGTCACCCCAGAGAGAGTCTCCATATGAGCTGGTGGCTGTGCCTCAGGCAAGCCTCATTTCTTCCAGGGGTAGAGGGGTACCACAGCCTCACCATCTGCTCCACCTTCTTCTGCTGCTCCTCACATGGCTTACTCTGCAGCTTCCCCTTCTCTTTCTGCTGCTCCTTCTCTTTGTCATCATCTTTGCCAAACCCTGGAGGAGGTGGTAAAGAGACAACACACTCAGGTGAGAGGCTGGCTTGACAGTGACCTGAGAGCCTCAGGGTCTGCTTCCCCCCAAACCATCTCCTCCCCTCCCCTGCCTCCTGCCTGCACGTGTACAATTTTTTCAGCTTTCTCAAAGCACCTTCACATGTGTTATTCCCTTTGAGCCCCACTGCCATTTTCAGAAGTGGATAGGGAAGAGATTGTGGACCCATTTTACAGAGAGGGAAATGGAGATCCAGAGAAGGAAAGCGGCATCTCTAAAAACATACAAGGAAAGTGGTATCATAGTGGAGCTAGAATCTGGGAATGCTTCCTCCCATCCAGGGTCCTTTCCCAACCAAGCGGGGCATGACAATTGATGAGGGAAACATCCCAGCTCCCCCATCAACATTAATTGGTGGCCCCATAGGTAAGCCCTTCCCCAGGAAAGACCTGGAGCCTCTGCCATGGCCTGCGCAGGCTGGGGTCAGCCTTTTGGGCACCTGTGGGCTGTGAGAAGGGATGCATGTGTGCCTGGTGTATGTAATGATAACTGAGTGTCCGTGTACGATGTATGTGCAAATGGCACACATGAGCTCGTCCATTCAAACTTTAACAACTCACAGAAGTAAGTGAGTGGCCATTTCTGCTCATGGCATGACCTCTGACCCCAGTATTTTTGGTCTGTGGCTTCAGATTTCCTAAAGACTATTTTTTTTTTTCCTGTAAATCCTAATCCAGACCTCTGGTGACTCTGGGGAGAGTTCCCTGCTGAGCTGGCCCCTTTTTCCACCATTCCCCAAGTCACAGCCCCCTGAAGACTTGCCCAAGATACAGAAAAACGTCCCATGTAAGCAGGAACTCAGGAACTCACACTTTAGGACAGAATCCATCTTGACTGAGATTTCTTACTTCTGTGAACACTAACCTGAGAACAAACAGAATAACAGCAGCTGCGTCTTCCAGGCATGTTACAGTTTACAGACTGTGTTTATGGACATTGTTAGCCCTTTAGACAGATGAGGAAATGGATGCCCAGGTTGCTGAGAAAAATTTTCCAAGAACCCACAGGGAGTCAGTGCTCACAGAGTTTCCTTTGCCTCAAATCTGAGATATGTCCTGACAAAAGAAGGAGACGAGTAAGGTGGAGACCCAGGATGGGCTGCAGAATAAGGACCTTTGACAATCCACAGGCCCTCCTTGTAGTCCTGTTCTCTGTCTCCCTCAGCAAGGCCTTGGCCTCAAAGAGCCCACAAACCTGAAGGGCTCCCCTCTCAGACAGAGCCCGTCACAGGGAGGGTGCCTCCAGCCTGGGGAGCACAGGCGTCACGGGTTCAGTCCTAGCCACCTTGCTTCAGAGCAGAGGTGAGGACTGTGAGGCCTACCCGCCACTCTTCATGACTCCCGCCCCGCCCCACTGCAACAAGAGCTGCTCTGCTGGGTGAGCAACTGTGCTCCTCCTCAGCCTTGGGCTCAGGATTTTTTCCTAAGAACATGGACACCTCCTCTCCTGCCACCCTCTCCAGAAAACTTGCCAGAGAAGCAAAGAGGAGGCAGGTCAGAGAGAGCCAGGCTTTAAAAATGGGATTTCAGAATGGGAAGACCAGAAAGGATGGTTGTGTAGAGGTGAAAACTGAGGCCCAAGGGGGCAGGGACTTGCTCAGAATCTGTTGGAGGGTTAGAGGTAGAACGGGGGCTGGAATCCAGGTCCTGGAACTCACCACCACGATGTCTGGCCAGGCATCTGCTCAGCCCCCTGCCATCCTCTGATCATAGGAACCAGTTTTCACAGACCCTTCACTTGCCCAAGGACTCCTTTCCTCTTCCCCAGGGATTCTGCCCTCTGATTTGGGGACCACTCTCCTGGATTTGGAAGGAGGCATCCACCCCAGAGAGAAGGGAAATGAGTTTCTAAAGGCCCAGCCAACTCAGAGACGTAGGTGCTCCCTTCCAACGCACCTTTGAAAGGTTGCGTAATTCTCACGGTTGCATAATTCTCAAGTCCCTCTGCCTATTGGAGGCTGGAGGAATTGAACTTCCTCTGCATAGCCATGGTGGATAGAATCAGGACCAGCGGGTGGAATTCATACCGAGGCAGATTCCAGCTGCACATAAGGAAGAACTTTCGTAAAGTCAGAGCTGTTCTGAAATGGAATAGGCTGCCTCCTGAAGCAGTGAGCTCCTCAACAGTAGAGGCAACCAACCTGCTATGGCTATTATACAACAGGCTTTCTCAAAGCATAGCCCACCTGCATCAGCATGAATGACCCGGGGAGGATTCTTAAAGGGGCATATTCTGGGGACCCACAAGACCTACTGAATCAGACTCCGAGTGTGGGCCCAGGAGGCCACCATTTTAAGAAGCCCCCACGTGATTCTAATGTAGAATTCTGACTCAAATGTTTGAGGATTTCTGCTCTGGAAGAATACTGAATAGAATTTGTTCCCCTTCAGCTCTGAAATTCCATGATTCTATCATTCTGTGAAATACTTATCTCCCCTGAGTATTTGTGTTGTATGGAAGGCATCCTAAAGACAAATTACTTTTATGTTAGAAAGTCACAACTTCATGATGGAAGACAGTTGGCAGAGGAGATGCTAGGGGACAGGGGACCACAAAGGCAGCTAGCTATTAATGCTCCCTGCTCCTCTGCCCAGTCCTGACCTGAAGTGACAGCCTAATATGCAGATCCCTGGCTATTTAAGACTCAATGGTCCCAATCCGATTTCATTGCAACTCCCTTTTGTGGAAGACCTGAACTCCTTAGTTGTAGCAGGAACTAAGAACAAGAACAGAGAAAAGTATCCACTCACGGTTCTGGAGCTGGAGGGCAAACTGCTCTGTCTGTGCTGGCCTAGCAGAGGCTTTCTGGGGCCCTCTTTAAGGTTTTGTACTCTCTTCTCTTCCTGCTTTCAGCCCTTAAGTGGACAAACTGGTTGTCCAAATGTCCTCAGGCATCACAGTGAAATCATAACAAATGTTTCCAGCCGAAGCCTGGGGCTCAACGCCATCCTGTTCCTCTCCGCCCCCACCCTTGATCTTTGTGAGCTTCAGGCACACCCTCCATACACTACGGACACATTCGGTGCCAGCCTTGAACATGCTCTCCCCTCAGACCCAGTAATGCACCTTAGAATCACTTACATGTTCAAAGATGTGTGTAACATGGTATCACCTCTAGCATTACCAAAATAACAGAGCTGACAGAATAATATTAGCTAACACATGTGTAGTACTTGTTTCATTTCCTAAGTGTTATTTTCATATTAACTTATTTAATTCTCACAATAACCTATGAGCCATATACTATGATTATCCCCAGTTTAGAAGCTGATACATTGCCTTTCAGTAACTGAAAGATAATCGGAAACAACCTGAGTGTCTACCAAAGGGGGATTGGTCAAATAAATTATGGAGCTTCCTGAAAATGGGATTTTATGGAGATATTATAAATAAGGTTAAAAAATATTTAATAAGCCAGAAATATGCTCATAATGTTTGGTAACATAAAAAGCACAAGAAATAAAACTATATTCCATATGATTGACTTTTGGGCAAATGTACATATAGAAGAAAAACTTCCATGGGGAGGTCCTGGGTAGGGAAGTCTTTCTTGAGGAGGCTGGCAGTGAGCAGGGTTTGGAAAGCTATGTAAGGGCCTGGGGAGGGGTTGGTTTCCTGACAGGAGCTGCTGCCACTCACAATCCCCAGGTGACCTAAGGAGGCCCAGAGTGGGCACTGAACTTGAGATGCTTGGCACTGACTGAGAGTCTAGAGATCACTGTTTGCTTCTGCCTCTATCACTAACTCCAGGGTGAACATAGCCAAGCTCCAGCTCCTCTCCAGCCTTAGTTTCTCCATTTGCACGAAGGTGATTATAACACCTTTCCTGACCCTCCCTTGAGCCAGGCTGCAGATGCAGAGTTCAAGTGAAGGCTTGAGCTATGGGATTCCTAAGTTGACCTGTGAACAAAGCCGGGCCTCTCTCTACTGACCAGTCACTGAGCCCTTACTCTGGGCCAGAGACGATGCTAAAGGCTTACAAGCACATTCAGTCCAGCTTCACAGGGGTGCAACTGGTACAATCACAGAAGGCCCACGCTCAGAAGGGCCTACACTTTAGAGTTCAATGCTCTGTGGTCACCATCTTGAAAAGCTTAATAATTTTATCTTTGAATTTAGCTTGCATAAGCAAAGTCAGATGGGACAATGAAACGTGCTGGGGGTTGGAGCCTCGGCTCTCGCACGGCCCAGTTCACTTAGTCTTGGGGTGGGGGCTCACCTGTGCCTGAGGGAGTACAACTTTCAATAGCAAATAAAAAAACACCATGACAGGCCAAGAGAAGGACTGTGGAAGACGGTAAAAAGCTTTATTTTTGCTTCTTTGCACAAGGAACTCCATATTTCTGTTTTGTACTGGAACCTGAAAATTAAGTAGCCAGCCTGGATAAGTCCAAAACGTCCCTATAAGGAATGTGCTCATTTTATGCCATTTCACAGCAGAGGAATTTGGGCTTAGAGGGTACGTTGCCCAAGGTAACACCACTGGAAGTAGCTTAGGCATAATTTGAACCCAGATCGATTTGACCCTAGGGCCTGTGAACTTAACACTGCACTGCAGGAAATCAGGTGACTGCACAAGTGGGGAGCCCCTCCAGAGCAGTAGCTCCTGCTGCCCTCCAACCACAACCAAGACTGTCACGACAGGGTCAGCATCTCGCCTGATGGAGAAGGTGGAGCCCGCCTGGGGGTTGGGAGGGGATTAGGAAAGCCCTCACACCTTGAAATACTCTTCCATCCGCTGAGAGGTGCTTGCTTGATCCACTAGGACGAGGGTTTCATCAGACTATGCGAGATTCCAGTGTCTCGAGGAAGCTGAGGGCCTAAAAAAAAACCCACAGGGAGCACATTTCAGCAGAGCCACCTAAAGCTGAGTGACTTTGGACACTCCTCTTGACTCCTCCAGACCTCAGGTGCCCCACCTAAAAATGGGGGTGGAACTATGTGGAAGTTCTTTCCAAATGGAAGGTGGTTACACCATCTGACTTTGCCTGCATCGACAAGCACTGACCAGAAGTCAGCTATTTTTACTGTATTGATGATTTGTCCACGCAAGAACTGATGTATTACGGGCATTTGGGAATAGAAATGTGAGCAAGCACATGTTCTGTTGGGATGCAGCAAAAATGAGCCTTAAGAGAAGCCCAGGGTTCAGAGGAATATCATTTGGCCTCCAAATGCTCATGGAAGATCCCAGGTCCCTTCCTGCCCCCATTCTCTAGGTTAAATCTCTAAGCAAAACTCATTATTCACAAAGCGGATGGGGGTGAGGTGGGGAACTGAAGTCCAACCCGCAGCTTTGATTCCAGGATGAAGGAAATAAGCAGAATCTGGCAGGTTCAAACTGGCTGGAGTGGCTAGAACAAAGATTGGTCATAGGTTTACTTCACCCTGAGACCACACTCCACGCCCCTCTGAGGCACTCTCACACTCACAAACCAGAAATTGAGGATTCCTTAACCAGGAAACATGACCACAAGGGGACAGCAAGGAGGGGGCAGAAGATTTTGGACTGGTAATGTGTTCCCAGGACTCTATCACCTTAATCCTCACTCTGGGAGGTAGGTATTACTACTCACATTCCACAGCTGAGGAAACAGTCTCAGAATGGTAATCATTTACTCAAGAACATCTTTTAACATTCTAGGCCTTTTGGTGCCTATTCTCCTTAATGTGCTAACATATACACTATCTTAAGAGATGCACAAGATGTCAGGAGGCAAACAGAGGCAGACATTATTATTCACATTTTACAGGTGAGGAAACTGAGACTCAAAAAGAAAAGCCAAAGTACTAAGGAGAGAAACCCACATTCTCCACTCTCAGGCTCCAGGAGGTCCCAGAGCCTCATCACAAAGACAGACACAAATCTGGCTTGAGGAACATCAAGAAGCTTTTTGGGTCTCATGATATCCTCTGACATCTTAGCATCATAACCCTCAGAGCTCATGTTTATGGAGTGATTACTATGGCTGGGCACATGTGCCACCCCCATTTTACAGATCATGAAACTGAAGTGCAGAGAGGTTGAACAACTCACCAGGTCATGCAGCCAGTAAGAGGTGGAGCCGGGATGCGAACTGAGGCTGTCTGGCTGCAAAGCTCACTCTTGCTCTTAAAGATTTTGCTGTTCTGCCTCTTCAAGGGAAGCCAGCAAAGAAAGGACTGTATGCCTGAGGGGATTTTAAATGGCCACTCACAGCTGATGGAACTACTATAGGTGGCAGTGTTCCCTCACCCCAATTCCATGTGAGTGGCCCTCTTGTTAAGTCATGCCAATGAAGATATAGGAGAACCAAGAACCACCCAAAAGTCTCCTTAAACCTGAGGAGCTATGGGATGCAGAAGAAAACACCTCAGCAGTATTTTTGTCTTTGTTTCTGCTACTGTGTAGCAGTATGCTCTCTCCTCTCTCTCACATCAGATCTTGGTATCTCTCTTGCACCTTGGCTTTTAGTGCATCTTGGCCTGATTTCCTTTCTACCAGCTGCTTTTCCTGGTCTGCTTTATGTGAACTTGAATGAGCCAACACACAAATATTTTATCTTCCCACTGCCTGTATTTTAGGTAATCAAAAGAGACAGGAAATCATATGCATTCAACCAACAGGACTCTTTAGAGACCCTAACTTTAGAGAGAAAGGGCTCATTTTTCACATTCAATCAGGATCTAACAGAAGTCCTAAGTAAGTCACATCCCATTGAAGGGTGAAAAATCATTCCATCACCCTCTCACTCCTTCAACCTGCCCAGGCTTATCTTCTTCCCTGTAGGGCAAGACTGGTAGTTCTTAAATTGTTTCTTGACTGCCCCCTGTTAAGTTCAGGTTGGAATTAGCTAACTGGCTCAGCATCCATTCGAGCCATGGAGAACACAAACCCCTTTGCCAAATCTCCTCTTTTCATGGTTGAGAACCAAGAAAGAGTTAGTGAAGTGGTTATGAACACAGGCAGAGCAGGGAGTGAATCAGTGCCACCACCTCACACTGTGTGACCTCAGGCAAATGTCTTAAACTCTGCAGGTCATGAGTGTCCTCATCCGTAGCTAATAAGAACAGTTCCAGATTCGTGGGGCTACTGTGAAGATAAATAGGATAATGTATTTAAAACCTTCAGCACAATAGCCTGGCACACAGTAACCACTCAGTTAATATTAGCTATTATGATTATTAAGATTAATAGATTGAAAGTGTCTCCCTAATGATCCTGTGAGTTAGGGGTTGACCCAGAATTAGAACCAAGCTGTCCTGGATAGCTGCTGTCAAAACCTTTCATTATAAATGGATTTCGTTTAATTTGTAATGCTTCTTTCACCTGTTTTATACAGAATATGACTTTAATGATGCTGGAAACAGAATTCCATAAACATCTTTTCCACTAAGTTGGTGGATTCATTGAAGAATGATGGATCAGAATCACACAGGAAAGCTTCTCAAATCCCTTCTGCACTCCTCTCACCCCACTTTGAAACCTGCTACCAAAGTACCTGCTTATTAAGAAGAGACAGAGCCACACTTGCCACCATTCCTGCTTCCAAGTGCCTATGATAGGGACGTTCACATGGGAGAGAGGACCCGTAGGTTTTTGTTAAATCCAGGAAGTGAGCAACGTTTCTTGACTCTTTGGTTCCCTTGGCCCAAAGCTCTCCTCCTTCCATTTTTTTTTTTTTTTTTTGTAATTGAAATAGTTATTGAGATAATTGCAGATTCACAAGTGTCAACCTACAAAAACAGAAACCAGTTTAAGAGGCAAACTTTATTTGAGATCAAAGAATTGCAATTCAGGGAGCAAAGATTCAGGTAGAAACCCAATAGTGTCCCAGTTATAGAGTAAAAGAGGAAGGTTTTTATGGGAAAAGGAGAAGTGTAATTACATGAAAAGAAGGAGAAGAGGAAAAATAATCTTATGTAGGTGTTAATAAGCTAGGCTATTCTTTAGCTGTACATGGCTGGTTACCAATTCTACCTTTGGAAAGAGAGTCCATAATCATCAGTCTTTGTGGTCAGAATGTCTGCTTTCCTGTTAGCTTTACTAACAGTTGTTTGGAAGACAATGTTGGTTTGGTTCAGTCTAAAGGTCCAGCCAGTTCAAATAGTCCACAGTTTCAAGGAGTAAAATGTGCAGGCGCTTCCTCTGAAATGGCTGCTCCAGCTCTATTTTAAAATGGCTCCAGAGATCTCATCAAGATGGCAGCATAGGCAGACTCTGAACTCACCTCCTCCCAGGAACACAACCAGGTTACAAAAATTTTTGGAAAAATTACCCTGGAAAGAAAACTGAAAACTGGATAAAAAGAACCCCCACAACAAGCGATATTCCTGAGGCGGAAGAGGCAGAAATTCCTTCTGGAGAGAAAAAAAGCCACCTTTACAAGCAGCAGAGCTTCACAGCTGGCTGCGCAGGAGCCACCCTAAGGTATGCAGCCCTCCCTGGAGGAGTGAGGTCCTGAGCGGGAGCCATTACTGCTACAAGCATCCTTCAGATTCAGCACAACTGAGACGAGGGTCTTACTCTGGCTTCACTCACTATTAACTGCAGTAGGGATACTCCCAGAAAAGCTATCAGAAGAAAGCCAAAAAGACCTGGGTCTTAAAGGGCCCATGCACAAACTCACCCATCTCAGCAACCTAAAATCACCAGAAAGAAGGCTTCACGGTCCTTTGGTGAAAAGTGACTCACCTGGTAGGCTCTGGGTGCATTTCAGTGAAAGGAGAGACCTCTCGGGAGACTGAGACATTGGCAGCAGCCATTATTGTGATCTAGTACAGGCGTGCTGACATAGACCCTGGCAGACACCACTGAAGTTCTTCCACTGGCCTGTTAGCCCTGGGGTCTGCCACACCCACTAGAGTGCAGATTTAATCCAGTTCAACCAGGGTAGGCAGCCCACCCTAGGGACCAGCCCCATCCAACAGCAAGCCCTCAGGCTACTTTTCAGCCTGCATGGACTGGGTGCCTTGATCTTCTACAGGCAGGTGAATGTGTCCACCTCTATGGGGCACGGCCTGTGTGAGGACCAGGTAAACTGTGGGGGGGCATTGGTGGAGAGGTGGGGGCCTCTGCAGTGGGGCCATGGGGTACACTCCAGGGAGTCAGGAAGTATGCATGGACCAGCACTGTGTTGACAGTGCATGTGGACCTGTGGGGGGTGGGGCTTATCAGCAGCAGAAGACCTGTGCTCCACAAATAACCATAAAAAGGATCAGCCCCACCCACCTTCCAATGCCTGAAACACTTGGGTGCCTAGGGCCAGCCCCACTCAGCTGCAATCCTAAGAGAGCTGACAACAGCCTTGCAGGCCTGAGGCCTACAGCAACTGTAAGCCCCTGAGCCTAGCAACCAGCTACACTGGGTACCTACCCAATTAACAGGGAAATTGCAACCACAGTGTGCTATTAGACCTTGTAGCCAATGGTGCTCAGGCTCCCCAAACCAGATTTACAAACAGCTGGCCAGGGAGGGAAAGACTAGACTCCCTGGGTACCTGCAGTACGAGCAACCGTGCCACAACAGAAGGACACAAGTAGGCCACAAAAGGGTCACTCCTGGATCATTTGGACTGGTGATGAGAGGGAACCACACTGCTGGGCCTCAAAAGGCGTCTCTTACATAGGGCCACTCCTCCAAAATCAGGAGACATAGCCAACTCACCTAATACATAGATATAAGCATGGAGAAAGAGGCATAATGATGATACAAAGGAATACATTCCAATTAAGGGAACAGGACAAAACCCCAGAAAAGAAGTAAATGAAACAGAAATAAGCAATCTCCCTGACAAAGAGTTCAAACAAAAACTCATAAAGATGCTCACTGATATTGGGAGAAGACTGGCTGAACACAGTGAGATTGTCAACAAAGAATTGAAAAATATAAAAAAGAACCAACCAAAAATGAAGAATACAATAATGGAAATGAAAAATTCACTAGAGGGACTCAATAGCAGAGTATATGATACAGAAGAACAGATCAGCAAGCTGGAAGAAAGACTAGAGGAAATCACCCAAGCTGAACAGATAAAAGCAAAAAGAATTAAAAAGAATGAGAACAGTCTAAGGGAACTCTGGGAGAACATCAAGCACACTAACATTCGTATTACAAGTGTCCCAGAAGGAGAAGAGAGAGACAAAGGGTCAGAGAATCTATTTGAAGAAATAATAGCTGAAAACTTTTCTAACCTAAGGAAGGAAACAGACATACAAGTACAGGAAGCACAGAGAGCTCCAAACAAGATAAGCCCGAAGAGGCCCACAACAAGACACATTATTATTAAAATGTCCAAAATTAAAGATAAAGAGAGAATCCCAAAAGCAGTAAGAGAAAAGCAACAAGTGACATACAAAAGAAAGCCCATAAGGCTATTGGCGGACTTCTAGGCTAAAACCCTACAGGCTAGAAGAGAATGGCATGACATATGTAAGTGCTGAAAGGAAAAAACCTACAGCCAAGAACACTGTATCCAGTAAGGTTATAATTCAGAATGGAAGGAGAGATAAAGAGTTTCCCAGACAAGCAAAAATTAAAGGAGTTTATCACCAAGAAATCAGTTCTATAAGAAATGCTGAAGGGACTTATTTAAGTAGGAAAGAGATGACCACAAATAGGGATACGAAAATTATCAAAAAAAAAAAAAAGGCAACAAAATCACTGGTAAAGGTAAAAATATAGTAAAGGTAGAACAACCACCTATAAAGATAATATAAGGTTAAAAGACAAAGGTACTAAAATTACCTATTTCAATGATAAGAAGGTAATGGATAGACACACACAAAACAAGAGATTAGATATGATCTCAGAAACATAAAATGTGGGAGGAGGGGAGTAAAAGAGTAGAGCTTTTAGAAAGAGGTCAAGCTAAAGAGACTATCAACTCAATATAGACTGCTATATACATAGAATATTAGACAGGAACCTCACGGTAATCACAAACCAGAAACCTATAATAAGTAAACAAATAAGTAAGAGGAAAGAAATCAAACATATTACTAAAGAAAGCCATCAAACCACAAGGGAAGAGAGCAAGAGAAAAAGAAAGGAAGAGAGAAGAACTACTAAAACACCCATTTAAAAAAAGGAACAAAATGGCAATAAATACATATTTATCAATAGCTACTTTAAATGTCAATGGACTAAATGCTCCAATCAAAAGGCATAGGGTGGCAGACTGGATAAAGAAACAAGACCCATATATACACTGCATACAAGAGACACACTTCAGACTTAAAGATACTCACAAACTGAAAGTGAAAGGACAGCAAAAGATACTCCATGCAAACGGCAAAGAAAGAGGACATAGAAATACTTATATCAGACAAAATACACTTTGAAACTAAAACTGTAACAAGAGACAAAGAAGGTCACTACATAATGATAAAGGGAACAATCCAACAAGAGGATATAACACTCGCAAATATCCATGCACCCAACAGAGGAGCACCTAAATATATAAAGCAATTATTAACAGACAAAAAAGGAGAAATAGACAGTAACACAATAATAGTAGGGAACTTTAACACTCCACTTACACCAATGGATAGATTATGCAACACATCAATAAGGAGACACTGGCCTTAATGACACATTAGACCAGATGGACTTAGTAGATATATTGAGAACATTCCATCCAAAAACTGCACAATACACATTCTTTTCAAATGTACATGGAACATTCTCCAGGATCGATCACATATTAGGCCAAAAAACAAGTCTCAATAAATTTAAGAAGACTGAAATAATACCATGCATCTTTTCCGATGACAAAGGTATGAAACTAGAAATCAACTACAGGAAGAAAATCAGAAAAGCCAAAAAAATGTGGAGATTAATCAAAATGCTACTGAAGAATGACTGGGTCAATGAAGAAATCGAAGGAGAAATCAAAAATACCTGGAGACAAATGAAAATGAACATATGACATGCCAAAATCTATGGGATACAACAAAAGCGGTTCTAAGAGGGAAGTTTATAGCAATTCAGACCTACTTCAACAAACAAGAAAAACCCCAAATAAACAATCTAACAGTGCATCTAAAGGAACTGGAAAAAGAAGAACAAAGCCCAAAATCAGCAGAAGGAAGGAAATAAAAATCAGAGCAGAAATAAATGAAATAAAGACTAAAAAAAAAACAGAAAAAATTAATGAAACCAAGAGCTGGTTCTTTGGAAAGATAAACAAAATTGACAAACCTTTAGCTAGGCTCACCAAGAAAAAAAGAGAGAAGGCTCAAATAAATAAAATCAGAAATGAAAGAGGAGAAATTACAACGGACACCTCAGAAATACAGAAGATTATAAGATAATACTATGAAAAGCTATACACCAACAAATTGGATAACCTAGAAGAAATAGATAAATTCTTAGAATCATACATTCTTCCAAACCTGGACCAAGAAGAAGTAGAGAATTTGAATAGACCAATCACCAGTAAGGAGATCGAAACAGTAATCAAAACCCTCCCCAAAAATAAAAGTCCCGGACCAGATGGCTTCCCTGCTGAATCCTACCAAACATTCAAAGAAGACTTAATACCTATCCTTCTCAAACTCTTCCAAAAACTTGAAGAGGAGGGGAGGCTTCCTAACTCATTCTATGAAGCTAATGTTATCCTGATACCAAAATCAGACAAGGACAACACAAAAAGAGAAAATTACAGGCCAATATCACTGATGAACAGCGATGCAGAAATCCTCAACAAAATACTCACAAATCGAATGCAACAATACATTAAAAAGATCATACACTATGATCAAGTGGGTTTTATTCCAGGGATGCAGGGATGGTTCAACATCCGCAAATCTATCAACATGATACACCACATTAACAAAATGAAGAGTAAAAATCACATGATCATCTCAATAGATACAGAGAAAGCATTTGACAAGATACAGCATCCATTTATGATTAAAAAAACTCTAAATAAAATGGGTATAGGAGGAAAATACTGCAACATCATAAAGGCCGTATATGACAAACCCACAGCTAATATCATTCTCAATGGAGAAAAACTGAAAGCTATCCCTCTAAGAAGAGGAACCAGACAAGGATGCCCACTGTCAACACTCTTATTTAACATAGTATTGGAAGTCCTAACCAGAGCAATCAGGGAAGAAAAAGAAATAAAAGGGATCCAAATTGGAAAAGAAGACGTGAAACTGTCACTATTTGTAGACAACATGATTTTATATATAGAAAGCCCTAAAGAATCCACTAAAAAACTTTT